TAATATATATACATATGTATATATGTATATATAACTAGTAAACATGTGATCACATCAGAACATGCCATAGCATGCTTTATAGCGGAAGGCGGGTATGTTTTTCGAGCATTCTTAATTTATTACAACTTCGGAAAATGAAGTTTAATTTTACTTATTAATCTTACTTATGTATTCATCTGACATTTTTGGAGCTCTGGAGTCACCGCCTGAAGTATTGATATATAATTAAGAATCACCCTGTACATCTTACAAAAAACAACTGACTCTCATTACCCCTTTCTAGGATGAGCACATTAGTTCAATGACATTGTATAGCAAGGTAAAGGGTTACTTATAAATGCCATCTGCACATCCACTGTAATTCGCAATATTATAAGTAATTAAGAGCAATGTTTTTTGAGTCTTTTTTTCACGCTTCAAGTCAGCTTTATAAAGTGCTTTCACTCGCACATTGTTACAGGAATAATAAAACATTTGTGTAAGATATTATAAAATGATAGTAGAGTATAATTTTGTAGCACAGTCATCTGGGATCTATATATTATCTTTTTTTTCATGCTTTGTCGTTTATTGTATGTGTGATCATATGAGAAATTATTTGTATATATAATAGAAGTTTTTTGCATATTCTTGATGATTGCTGGATACATAAATTCTATAATCTGATAATGTATTATGTGTTATCAGTTGTTTTGATATAAAACGTATAATTTGATATAAAACGTATTAATTGTTCGCTATTATGTACATATATGCAGGCGCTATCGCATTAGCTGTTAATCTTTTGAAAACTTGGTATCATGTGGCTATTTTTTATCTTTCAGCATTACATCCTAATTTGACATTATTGTTTTCTTTATAATTAAAATTTATTCTTTGATATTAATATAACTATAATTATTTTATTATTAATTATTAATATAACTATAATATAACTATAATTATTTATTAGAATTTGAAGGAGAAATTGCGATAGCTCCAGAGCACTTTGTATATATGATTAGTATTGTACACACACACACACACACACACACACACACACACACACACACACACACACACACACACACACGCACGCACGCACGCACACACATGCACAATTGCAGAATATCTTAAGCAAATTCACGTAATCAATCAGAATTGAGATATTTGAAGGCAATTACAAATTGAGAGATTTAATTAAGAAGCAGCAAAATAAATGGATTCAATAATGTTGAATAATATTTAATGTCACAGTAATTTTTTCTCTTTATCCACAAAATACGAAATGTGCTATAGCTATTGATTTCATATTCATGAAATTGTCTTATGTATTTGCTTCTAATCTTTTCAATTTCTTTATTTATATTTTTTAACATACTATCAATCATTTTTTAAAATTCAGGTCATATTCAGTCAAAGTTCGGACTTGATGGAAAGACAATCATCCATGGCTTCTTCAACAGAGGAGGTTTCTGGTGCGAATAATGATTTGAGTGGAGGATCCAGACGGGATGACGAACAGTTTGGTGTATTTAAGGACTTCGATTTCCTTGAATATGAAAGTGAAAGCGTTGAAGTAAGCTTATAATTCGTTACGCTTTATTACTTTTGAATAGAGAATATTGATTTCAATTTTTTCCGTTAAATTTTACAGGGCGAGAGTACTGACAACTTTAACTGGGGAGTTCGACGTCGTCCTCTTAGTGAGGGAGAAGAACGAGAACCTAGTTTGCGACAATTCGAGGAAAGTTTAAGCGAGAAGACGCCATCATCCAGCAAACACACAACGCGGGTAAATATATAAAAAAAATTAAAATTAGTTTTATTATACATATATAATTTATGTTCTTTATATACTTTTTACCTTTTTAAATTATTTGTTTATATATATTAATAAAATTCTGAATGTATGTAGCGCGGTGTTACCGAAGAATCATCAGACGACGAAGCAGGATCAGAATCACCCTTGGATGAGGTACCAGGAGGGTCTGGAACAGGGCAGGAGGCAAACAGCATTCCGGGAATGTTCCCGCCGTCTTCTCTTTCATTGATACCTAGTCGCACGCGTCACGATTCATCTACAAGGTCTGATACATCGTAAGTTTCTGTATGAAGATCTTCGAAAACGCGTATATTAATCGTTTTATTTAAATTCTTTACCTATAGTGGCTCGAGCGCGGGAGATCTTGGCGATGTTACGCCTTGCAATGCGTCACCGAATTTGTCCGCGTTGATGCCCTTCCGACAAGTTGTACGAGATGACGCCGAAGAGATCTGGAGGCAGCAAATTCAAAGTCTCATCACTCAAGCTCCATACAATACTTTAAGCTTTTTCCAGTTGCTGAGCAAGATCTTGAGGGTAAGCTACAAAAAATATAATTTATTTTATTAAAATAGGAGCAAATGATGAGGAAATTGTTATTTTTCCCAAGAAAATTATTCAAAAAATCGGTGTGTTTCAGGATGTGAGCAGTAAATCTGTCGGTCTTACACGCGAGGCAAGTGCTTTGCTTTCTAACGGCAGCTCGGCTTCAGCTCACTTAGGTTGCTATTTATCTGGTCATGCCGAGTTACTTAGTTCTAAAGCTGAGCCGCCTCTAGTGTGGTTTTCAGTGACGATATTCGCGAATCAGCGATTAAACGAGACGCTACGCTTTGGAATGCTGGAAGTTCAAGAACATTTAGAAACATTTTTGGATAGAAAGGATCATGCTACGGAAGTAGGTTTTGCTAAAATAGTTAATAATAACTATTTAAAACAGATAGTTATGATATTTGTTTTCCCCTCAGTGCTTGGAGGCAGCTAAAGCAACCGCTAAGCTTCAGGCGTTAGGCGGCAGTCACACCACAGAGGCAGGTGTCGAAGAAATATTGTTGGATCTAGGCAGAGCGCTTTACAAACTACATTTCCAACTACTTCTGTTGATCGAAGCATCGAACAAAATGTTAGGGGCGCTAATGAACGCCGCTAGAAATGTACAGATTCCTTTACAAGATCTATCAATCGAGATCGCTAATATGAAAATAGCTTTAAGCAGAGCGCTTGAAGAAAGCACCGAAAGCGAACGAGGGACACCTACTCCAACACCTAGTCCTAGTCCTCTACCGGGCTCCGGAGCCGTGGAAGAAGTTGCGAGAGTCGCTGAACTTTTGAGAAATGCACGGTGGTGTCCGGCGCTCGAAGCCGTAAGACTGCACAGAGCACAATGGCCCGGAGATGCTTTTCATGATGACGATGATGTAACGACGGCTGTTAATATGTACTGCAAATATATAGGTCAAGATAGATCAGGTGAGTTTAATAGACGCTGCATTAAATACTCAATAATATTTTAACGCCAGTTATATACAACATATTTTTTATTTGAAGAAAGAAGATAGAAATATGAAAAACTTTGAATATGTAATTTTTGAAAACTATTAAAATACTATAAGCTCAGTATTCTTTTATAAATTGTATAATGTCATTATTGTTTCTTTGTTTAATATTTGCATGATCTATATAATACATGAAATACATTGTTTCGCAATAATTTTATTTTGCGTGTTAATATGTTTTAGATATATTTGTCGTGACGAGGAAGGACGACGAGATGTCAGAAATATTTGGCAGACTGATGGAAAGTCTGTTTGAAGTGTTAGCGGCCGTAACAGGATTGGAAGCATCTACAAAAGCCGCGCGCAATCAGCATGACTCTAATCACTCAAAAAACGAATGTTAACATAAGCTTTAATCTCGTAGCTTTAATCGCGAATCGTTTTCGTATAGATTTAAATCGACGTATATATACATATTTAATTGTCGTACATATGTAGATGTCTTATATACGCTGGTAGGTAAATATATGTACCTATATCACGAAAGAAGTTCTTAGATCTGTTCTGTTTTTTTTTGTTTTTTTTTTTTAATGCGAAGAACGTAACGAATCGCTATCGATTGTAAATTTGGCGAAATAAACCATTGAAATCTTCAAAAATGTTTTGAAATTCATACAACCTATAGGATCCCTAATCAGGATGATTATACGAAAAAGGCGATCAGTATATAATACGCGACCTGCAAAAGATCAACAAGTTGAATTTTATCAAGATGTGACGCATTTCGTGAGACGATTCGTCAATTCTGCGGTTATCTCCGCAATGAAAATTGTCGCTGTGATGGTTCGTTAAAGTTCTTATTTGTCAATTACGGTATAATGCCCATAAAATTTCATATATATTATTGAAATGATATCTCACGTGTATATATATATATATATATATATATATATAAAACAGTTGTCTGTATTGCTGATAAATAATTCTTACTTATATCATTTGCTCTTAACTGTTAGGATCATGAGTCCACATTTAACCACACAAAATGGCCTACGTGTGGAAATATGAATGTACGAAAAGGTCTGCGATGTGTAAAAGAGGAGATGCTCCGATGGAATCAATTATCGGTACAATTAAAAACGAAACTGTATGTTAAGGGAAGAAAAAATAACGTATTTTGTTGATCTTCTATAGGCTTTGAAAAATTGGATGTTTCGTGTAAAATTTATCTGCCTTAACAAAGAAAACACTACTGAATTCTACATGTATCATGTTCTATGGAGCATACCCACACCGGCATATCCGGAGCCATATGTGACTGTCAGCGTGTTCTTCTGCATCGCGGCGAGTCGCGTGCAGCCGCCGTACTTTCCAGTCGACGTTAGTTTGTTGTGTATATTTTCAGCTCTTTCCCCTTGCGCTCTCTCTCTCTCTCTCTCTCTCTCTCTCTCTCTCTCTCTCTCTCTTTCTCTTTTGTGCATCTCAATATACATTATACATCAACAAAAAATGAACAGATCCAGGTAATATCGGGAATTACTTTTAACATAATTTGAATATAATACAATATAAACAGGTATTTAAACTATAAAAATATATCATACTATATATATAATTGCACTTGTATCTGAAATAAAAAATACTAGAGATTTTATACATATAGCCACATAGTAGTCACATATTAAAGATTTACATTAAATGCACTTTCGTATAACATAATTTTTTAATAATAGGTGACATATGTATTCGAGGGACATCAGTTTGTGCATCGGTTAGACATAGTTTTTCAACCAAAGTGGCTTTATGATATTCTCGACATGAAGACTATGCTGTCCAAAACTTTCACATTTTAAGATATCTATTCCTTTTAATATTTCTTTTTTCAAAAAAGCTGTATTTTCTCTTTTAAAATTGTATAATTGTGAAACAATTTTTTTTCTATGAATTAATTATAATAAGAATTTGTATATGTAAGTGGCAATGAAAACATGATACATTTCAAACATATCCTATGTATTTGAACGCAAGCACAATTCCTCCGTGTTGCATCGTGAAACGGCTGCAGCTTTTCAAGGCAGATTTTTAAGTGCCTGCACCGTGCAGAATGTCATAAAAGTAAGAGTGTCAGATTTCCGCGAATCGGGCACGCGCCGGTCGCAATCTGGTCCAGCACCGGACGCCGTTTCATTTCACTCAGTTAAACAATACGAGCAGGTGATACTCCTATTCTGTAAGAGAGAACGTACCGCGCGTTACCATATTGCCATTCCCAACATATATTTACGATCTTTGCATTAAATCATTAACACCAATCGTTACAGCATTGACAGCATTTCCTTGTCTATAGCTGTAGAAACGAAACAATAAATGTAAAGTTAGAAAATTTATTGAGTTGATTTATTGGAGTACAATTTCTTATAAAAATTTTAAAATAAATGTCCTTTTTTGTTTGATTTTATCGCTTTAGTTTTATAGAATAATAATTATAGAAATTCAAAATTTCTTTGAGAAAATGTTATTATATACGCTTGAAAATCGATCTTCTTCCCTTCTTTATACAATTATAAATATCACACATTGATATTTCCATTTATAGATAATGTTTCACACTGCTAACATTAAACTTAATCATAGATATCAATACGTGGTTGGTGATTTCATTCATTCTCTCCCACGAAGTTGATGCACTACTACAAAAAGCCTGTTACAAAAAGAATCTACAATCCCACGGAGGATACCGAGGAGGTGTGAAACCCTGCGTTGGTCCCTGGATCTGATCTTGACTTTTTTACGCATTCTCAGCTTTGAATAATAAGACTGACGAATGGATGAAACAATTCGACAACCAGAAAGGGTCCTCTCTTGTGCACATGCGGGCCGAACGACGCCGGGAGGTCTCTCGGTGTCTCAGCAGGAGCCAGAAGAGAATAGAGATGGCAAGCCACGTGTTGGACACATCGAAACCCGGAGACGTGATTGTGCTCTTAACAATATCGACTTAATTTTTCTTCTTAGAATTGAATCCAAAATTCAATTATAAATTATAAATTATTTTAGCATTCTACATCTTTCGATATTCTAAAAACTTTTAATATATTGTGTCTGTGTGTAATGATGTGTGCTAATAAATTCATTTTTTTTTTGTAATTTAATAACTGTATTATATATGTATAATATGTATGTAAGGAATGACCTATACTATACTGTAGATATTGAATTCGACTAACAAGAAATGAAATTCAATGAATCTTATGATTGATTCTTTTTTCTTCTGTTGAGGATCCGTTCTCCAAATATGAAAATTGATTACTCATCGTTTCACAAACAATCAATCCATGTTATATGGGTCAAAGCGATATCAGTTTACGACTGCCAACCGCAGTGGCAGCAACCACCGCCTATTTATACGATGCTGGGCTTTTTGTCAGTCGCGGGGTGGTTCTTATCCTAAACATCACATCCGCCGAAATGTGTGCCTCCTACGCTGACCGAGAAAAGGAGGCTCGCGAGGGATTGCGAGAGGCGACGAAGACGAAGCGCGAGGGAAGCTACACGACAGGAACCACCGCTTCGCTTTCTTCAATGGCTTCAAACATCCGCTACACCAGCCGCTACCAGATTTTTCGTTTACCCCCTGCCGTCTCAGTTTGCGCCACAAAGAAACGTTCGTGCATGCGTTCACTTCCCCTTTCCACGTCAGAAGCGAAAGGATGCGTCTCGGGATGCGTTTCTATCCGATGCGGTTCTCGACGTTTCTCAAAGCTTTCGCTTCGTTTCCGGTTTTTCTGTGATATCGTGTTCTCTTTTACGGGTTCCACAGTTGGAAATTTTTGAATTAATATACATACATATAAACATAGTACAATTAAAGAACATGTAGAAATATTTATTATGTGTACACTTGTGTATATATAATTGTATATATAATTATATACATATACACATATATTACTTTTTACACATATTATTATTTTAATTTATAAACGCAAGAAACATTTAAAATATTTAGCACTCGATGCGCAATTTCTTAACTAGAAGACTCTCTTGATCGATTGTGACCACGTATCTCGAAGGAAGAGGGATTGTGAGATACATCTGGACCAAGACGATCGGACACGTCGGCCTTCTTCGAGATGAGAGAAGCGAGAAGGGGGATGACCGGTGGACGCTGCGCGACCAGCGTGACACGCATTGTATACCGGATCCACGTGCACGCGAAAGAGGCAGCAGCTCGTCGAATCACCAGCTGCCGATTCGCCGAGGCGACTCCTGGAAGCACGGGAGTCGATCTAAAATTAGCGACCCCAGCATGGCACCCCCGCCTAGGCCTTACATGGCCACGTCACGGGCATACACTCGGCTACTTTGAAAGAGAGACATAGAGAATGAGAGAAAGAGAGGAGAGAAAAAGGGAAACAATAATAATCGCAGCTTGCTCGGCACGAGTTGATCACGCGCGAGATCTAGCAGCTGGAACTTGTCGACAAACAACGCGATCGGATCTCACTCCAGAAATCATTATTCCAGAAATGGTGAAAGCTTGCATCGGCGAAATTAAAAGGAAACTTTGCATTGTATTGCAAAATAGTCATCTCAATCTTCATTCTTTTTCGCAGTTAAATAAGTAGTTCGCAAGTATAATGGTAACTGCAAAAAAGAATACTCAATTTTTTTAATAGAGATTTATATAGAATTTAAGGATTTTATTGGTTTTATAATTAATTTAAGTATGTGATCAAAGCTGCGGATAAAATATATTTGGCATATTTAAAATAATTCTTTTGTTATATTACACACACACACACACACACACACACACACACACACACACACAACGCACGCACGCACGCACGCACGCACGCACGCACGCACGCAGCACGCACGCAAGCACATACATGCACAAGTATACATGATTTTGAATTATTCTTATAATTTTTCCTAATATAAAATTTGGTACAAAGTACTAGAATCTCTCTTTATTATCATTGTATGAGACAGGAAGTGCCGCAAGAGTTAGCAATGAACCACATGGCTGCCGGATGAATGGTGTAATGAACGAAGTCATGCCGTATCCAAGATAGCATGTTAACGTGCTGGAAAAGTTCTCAATGAAGTACTGATTAATATCAAGTGGCATGAGATAATATATCTAATTTTTATTCTCATTACTTCCTTGATCGAAGAATCGATTCTTCAAAAAAATTTTCATTAATGTCCATTTCAAATATTCGATCGTTTTAAAATAGTTTAAATATCCCTGTTATTTAAACTTATTTCACAATTTCATGAATAAATTAATATCAAGAATTTATATAAATAATTTTTTATGTATGAAAATATTGTTTCTTTATATTTAATTTATTTATGAACTATAATATTATTTATAATTCTGGTATAAATAAAATGAATCAAATATGTGAATGTACGTGTACATGGAAATTACACAGAAATATAATGCGCTTCACTGTTAAATCTATAGTGTCAAATTTAACTTAATGCGAGTTCCAATTAATAATCGCCACTGCTCTTATTACTCAATCGTTATTTTATATTAAAACAATGATTATATTTGACATTATATAATGTCAAATTTAATTATCGTTTTTAGTAAAAAATAACGATATATTTAGTAGGAGCAATGGCGACTCACATTAGGTTAAATTTGACACTATAGATTTAACAGTGTTGAATCCGAATTTTTATCTGAACGGGTAATATCCAAAGAATTCAAAGAAAGCTGTGAATCTCTTGCGCACAATTCAATTAATCGTTTCGCGGATCTTCAATCTAATTCATATAATACCGGATACATCTCAGTAGATCGCTTAACACCGAAACGAGAGAACCTTTGCGGACTCCTTATAGGAGGAAGGAACCCCGTTCCGCAGTACATCTGCGTCGAGCGGATGCAGACTGCATTTTATGACCGCCCAATGCACAACCGATTCTTATTCGTGCACCCGCACTCACACCCTCCATCGTTCTCCATCGAGCGGTACAACGACTTCTATAATTAGATCTCCTTCCTTCTTTTGAGCTTAGACACCTTCGCGGACGCGAGTGATCTCTTGACCTATGAAAAAGAAAATTAAAAGGAAGATTAAAAGGATATTAAAATATTTCAATCTTAAAATCGACATTAGTGTATGTTTTTCAACTAAGTGGACACTTATACATATTTCAAATCAATATCGTCGCAATGAACATCTTCTTCTAACTAAATTCAGAAATGAATGATGTCATTTGTTTTGTCAACATCTTTCACTGAAAATTAATTGTAGATTAATCAACAATCCACAGGTTTGGACGCAAACGATGCCTTGAAAGAGCTATCACGTTCCGCGTGTCATAGGTTTTACTTTGGCTATTTCGAACAGGTTGCGCTCGTATCTATTTTTCGATCATTGGCATCGGTCGGATCTACGTGATTCTTGCGCTGCCGACGACAGGTAGACACGAATATAATATAAATGGCAATAGTTAAATTGAGTCGCGATACATAAGCGCGATCTAAGCACTCGCTATCATCATCGTTGTAGATACTGTTTAATCGTTGGTCATCAGCCAAAAACTCGCCTCTAAACTTAATACAACTGTACGAAATCGTGATATTTCGATTCGAAATGCTAGTACTGCTGGCACTTCTGTTGGCACTTCTATCTTCCAGTTAATTAGATTTTTTTAATAACGTTATACAAGACACGATCGTGTTTTATTTACTATTTATATTAAGGGTTGGTCACATCTACAGTGCAAGATGTCTTCAATTATGATGTCAGAAACATAAATTTAGGCGAATGCCGATTGCAACTTTACATAAGAGTTGCACAAATAACTTATACAAATATATAAC